ATCCTTAAATACAATATTGAAGTTTTCATTGTCTGGTCTTATCGGGTGTCACATTTTAGATTTAATCAAGAACTTCTTGCCAGGGACATTAATCTCTCTTTGTTCACTTCTTTGGCGAACGCCTCGGTGATTACTCCCTCCTTCAACAGCTTCTCGCTGTAAATAGTAAGCACGTTCGGGTGCTCCCTTATCCGTTTGTACATTAAGGGTTGCGTCATCATAGGCTCGTCCATTTCGTTATGACCGGCTCTTCGGTATCCAACAATGTCTAGCACAGCGTCGTTGTGAAATTCCGCCCTATTATATTTTGTCAGCGTCGTCAGTAAAATGTTATTCCGGTTTAAGCGATGGTATAATCGAGGGAAAAATACGGTGACTGTCGTAAAACGTCGGAATTAACGTCCCTTACACTTCTTATGTCAAAGGTCATAGTTCTAAGCTGTAAACCCGTAGTAATACCGATTTATTCTTCACCTTCTCAATGGTAGCCCTAAGTCTTAAAATTTTCTAGTCCCAAGCATTTATTAAACGATATCTGTAAATTCTCTTATATTTCGAGTTTTGGGATTAAGAGCTGCTGTATACAGGGTGTCTCAAAAGTAGTGTAAGATATTGAAATGGGAGGTTCCTGACATAATTTTAAACAATATTTTCCTTAGCGAAAAAGAAAAAATCTGAAACATGATTGAGTCAATTGGAATTAATGGACCGAGCGTCCGGATCCGAGCCAACGCTCTTGATTCGTAGTTCGCGTCAACCGAGTAATCTGATTGGTCGGGATTTTTTGTTAATAACTCCTCAACCACGTCTCGGACAACTTTTTCGCTAAGGAACATATTGTTTAAAATTATGTCAGGAAGTTCCTGTTTCAATATCTTATACTAGTTTTAGGACACCCTATGGATATAACTGGATACCTGGAACCTGGATTACTAGGTTCACATTATAAACTTTACCGCGCGTCGTCATTCTTTCAAGGAGACGAATAATAACCGTCCTGTTTTACAAGGGTCGTCGTACCTTCCCTCGGCTTACAAGAAAAAATACCTATATTCTTCGGCGACTTTACTGCAATAAACTACTAAATCCGGGTCGTCGGCGTGTACATGAAATATAGGAGCGTTTACGACGCGCGCAACGTCCGTGCAATGAGCGCTGGATCGGGAATACCTCGGATCGGTGGTGAAACCAATCTGTGTTTCAAAAAATTGTTAATTTATGTAAATGGTTCGAAATCGGAAAATTTAAATTGTCAGTACTTGATTATTAATCACGACGTGCATGACGCCGCCCGTCGTGTACTCTGGCAGATTAGTCAAATGCATCGTCTCGTAGACGACGCCCTGACCGGAGAACGCAGCGTCGCCGTGCACCAACACAGGCTGAGATTTTACACCAACTGCAATCGACGAATTGCTCACCGATCGTACACTCGTTTAATTAATTAATTTACAGACGTACGTTTCGCATCGTTCTTTTCTACTTGCTCGGCTCGCACGCGACCTACTATCACAGGATTGATAGCTTCCAAATGCGAAGGATTCGCCATCACGGAGATCAGCATCTTTTTCTTAGTTCTGATTTCAATAGTATTTTTTACATGTATATGAGTCTCCCAAAACTAGTGTAAGAAATTGAAATGGAAGGTTCCTGACATAATTTTAACACTAGATTGCCCAAGAAAGTC